ATCTCCCACTTGGTGTCTTATTGTCCTCCCTGTCTCCTACTCAGCCCTTTCATTTTCTTATATACCTCTTATAACAACAATCTCTCTCTCTCTCTCTCTCTCTCTCTCTCTCTCTCTCGCTCAATCTCTCATCTGAGTTAATGACCAAAACAACTGAAATATATTGAAAGCAAACAAAGCTGGGCTGGTGGAGTTAGGAAGGATGGGAGTTTGTCCATGGCGCAACTACAAGTGCTGACTCACTGGGAGTGGCACCAGCTCTCGGTGTCAGCCATTTCATTGCTTGCTAGCTCGGCCACCTGCCTTCTTGACTTCTTTGGTGACGATCTACTGGGTGATTAGAAAGCTGGGTGTTGTGGCCAGTTCACGAGCACATCATATTGCGCAAGAGGAAGAAACATGGCCAACTCTGGCACACAAATATATATGGTGTGCCGTAAGATACTTGTGGACCTCAAGCAAGATGAGTTGTATATATGTGTGTGTGACCTTTATTTTCTTCCTTTTTACCTTTTAAGTGATAAGATTTCGAATCGAGTATCCATTAATTCATATTAGTAAAATATATGACGATGAAGGTGTGGCTAGTAAAGATTGTTAATTTATCGAAAAGTTCGAGTGTTCGAATCTTATATTATCTTAAAATTTTATGTTATCAGAAAAAATAATTTATATCAAACTCTAACATTTGACTCGTTATTACGGATTAGCGACTCGGGCTAATCTACCCATATCCATTTACATAAATCAAAACTCCAAATTCTATTTAACCCGGATTTGAGCTATAGAAATAATTTTATATGTAAATATCTCAAATTTCTCTTGTGATGGCTATGGTAAATTCCATTTCCAATCATCCCAAACTATTATCAGCAGAGACATTCTTAGTTTGAGGCTCTGACAAACGGGAGAGAAGTCCGACGAGGGTGGCAGTGCAAAAGCTCAACAAGAGGAGAATCCAAAGGACGACAATTATGCCAACTTTTTTTCTCGAGAAAGAAACAAAATCTAAGTATGCATCACTCTCATACAAAAAGAATCCGAGAACAAAAAATGGAATTATTCGTAATAGCAATCCAATCGAAGAGAGCATTGTGGGTAGATTAATCAAAGCCATTCCTCATTGTTAGTATACCATAAAAATCAATGTTATTGTATAACTAATCATGACATACTAATATGAAATCTACATAATTATTGGCAGGTTTTTCGCCCATGTTTTTATTAGAAAATAGATGAGAAAAATATATATTTTTTCATTTAATCATAACATGATGTATTCATTATTCACTATTAATTTTATCTAAAATATCGATTTGGAGGAAATATTAACTTAAGACATCAAATAAAGATAATAGTTAGGATTATAGAGTTTGATTTAGGGTGGTATCTATTTAGAATTTATGTCCATGTTTTTCATAGTAAATTGTATACAAGATAATAAAAACGTATGATATAGAAAGAAAGATATTACATCAATATGAAGAATAAAGAGGGACAAATACAATATTCCAATCCATGATAAATAATTTTGATTGGATGATCATAAACTCTAATCCACATTAAATTTTAAGATGAATTATTGTCTATTGAACTAAGGAAAAATGAGAGTTATTTTTATTTTATTTTTTTTCAAATTATTATTAATTTCTTTTTTTCAATTTAGAGGTAGATAAGTGTGTGTGGCGGACCAATAGAATTCCAAGTCAGACCCGAGTTGACAAAGCAGGTATTGGATTGGGTACTTGAGTTGAAGTGACGGTTTCGTGGCCATTATAGCGATTGGGTTTTCCGCACGACATCGCGAGATCGAAACCTGCGGCGCGGGCCTCCCAACTTAAATCCCCTCTATCTTCTACCCACTTACTCACCGCCCGCAGCGGCCACCAAGAGAGAGAGAGAGCGCCATGGAGGAACCCGATTCCCATAATGCCCCAGCCATGGCGTCTTCCCACAATACCCCTTCCCCTTTCCCTCTTCCGGCCGAGGATTCCGAAATTACCCCTCCCGTCGACGGCCCCCGGACCACCGCTCCCTTGCCCGGAAGCGGCGGCGGCGACACCCCTCCCCAGGGCGCGGGCGCGGCTTCCGGTCGCAAGCGGCGCCGCCGCGACAAGCAGTTCCCCGAGATGATCCCCACCGCCTGCCTCCGTGTCCTCCGGCCCACGACCGCCCGCTCCGCATCCGTCGTCTACAGTGAGAAGCTCATCGACGAGCTGATCCAGATGCAGGTCAACGACGCCGCCCCACGGCGCCGCGGCCGCGGCCGCCCTCCCTCGTCCTCCCTCCGCCTCGCCCGCGAGCTCGACGTCGAGGCCCTCATCGCCATGGCCGTCGGGTTTCCGGTCGATTCCCTGACTGAGGAGGAGATAGAAGCCAACGTGGTCCCCGTCCTGGGTGGCGTCGCCCAGTCCAACTATATCGTCGTCCGGAACCACATCCTCGCCCGATGGCGCTCCAACGCCTCGGTGTGGATCACCGAGGCCCACGCCATGGAGTCCATCCGGTCCGAGCACCGCGCCCTTGTCTCCGCTGCCTACGCCTTCCTCCTCGATCACGGCTTCATCAACTTCGGTCTCGCCCCAGCCATCATTACGGCCCCTCCGCGCCACCCGCCGTCCCTTCCTGCCCCCTCCGTCCTGGTCGTCGGCGCGGGCCTCGCTGGCCTGGCTGCCGCTCGTCACCTTCTCTCTCTTGGCTTCAAGGTCGCCATCCTGGAGGGCCGCCGCCGCCCAGGCGGCCGTGTTTTTACCAAAACGATGGAATCTTGCGCCTCGTCGACCACTCCCGCCGTAGTTGCGACTGCTGACCTCGGCGGCAGCGTGCTCACCGGTATCAATGGCAACCCTCTTGGCGTTCTCGCTCGCCAGCTTGGCTTTCCCCTCCACAAGATTCGGGACTTGTGCCCTCTCTACCTCCCTGACGGCCGGCCAGTGGACCGCGTCATCGATGCGCGTCTCGAGGCAGCCTTCAACCAGCTCCTCGACAAGGTCTGCAAGTTTCGCCAGGCTGTCACCGATGAGCTCAAGTCCGTCGACCTCTCTCTTGGGACTGCCCTCGAGGCCTTCCGCAAAGCTTACGGCTTTGCTGACTCCTCGGAGGAAAGGATGCTGCTTGACTGGCACCTTGCCAACCTCGAGTATGCCAATGCTGCCCTCCTCGCGGACCTCTCCATGGTGTATTGGGACCAGGATGACCCGTATGAAATGGGTGGCGATCACTGCTTCATTCCTGGTGGCAATGCACGCTTCGTTCGGGCCCTCGCAGAGAACATTCCCATCTTCTATGGAAGGATAGTCACCCGAATTCAGTATGGATGTGACGGGGTGATGGTGTATGCCGATGGACAAGTTTTTCGTGGCGACATGGCACTATGCACTGTACCACTTGGTGTGCTCAAGAAGGGCTGTATCGAGTTTGTGCCTGAATTACCCAAGGAGAAGCGGGAGGCAATCAAAAGATTGGGTTTTGGATTGCTTAACAAGGTTCTGATGTTGTTTCCCCATGATTTTTGGGGTGGTGGGATTGACACTTTTGGGCACCTGACGGAGGATCCAAGCAATCGTGGTGAATTCTTTCTGTTCTATAGTTATTCCTCAGTCTCCGGTGGACCACTTCTCGTCGCTCTCGTTGCAGGGGAGGCTGCAATTAAGTTTGAGACCACGTCTCCAATTAAGCATGTTGAAAGGGTACTGGAAGTTCTGAAAGGTATCTTTGCTCCTAAGGGAATTGAGGTCCCCGAGCCCCTTCAGGTGATTTGCACCAGATGGGGGTCAGATAGGTTTACATATGGATCGTATTCTTATGTCGCTGTTGGTTCTTCTGGCGATGACTATGACATTTTAGCTGAGAGTGTGGGGGATGGGAGGGTCTTCTTTGCTGGTGAGGCAACAAACAGGCGGTACCCGGCAACAATGCACGGAGCTTTGCTCAGTGGTTTCAGGGAAGCAACTAACATGGCCAGGGCCACAAGGAGGAGGTCCACGATGCCAGTAGGAGAAGGTAGATGTTAGGGAGGATACTTCGTATTTGGATTACCTCTTTTGTATTCCAGACCCTCTCTCTTGCTAGTTTTTCAGTTCTTTGTGATCCATGTTATTCAGGGCCTGACTCTACTTCTTTGTTGTGGGTGGGGACTGGTGAAAAAAATGGCTTCTGTCTCTCTTTTCCTTTGTAGTTTGATTCCAAAGAAAAATGATTTGGGCTCGGCTGAAATTGATGGAGATGACAATGGACTGACCATGTTAAATCATAGCTTTGGCACAAAACTAGTAGGGCGGAATCACTTGTGCAGTGTTGGAGATTTTTTTGTAGCCAACATTAGAGTTGCAAGAGCAGCTATCTTGAACACTTGATCTGGGTTGATCCGGGGAAGAGGAACATCGTGCTCAAGAAGTTGTTTGGATGGGGCAGTGGACTTAGGTGCATCGTTCAGAAGAACAGATTTGGTCATTAATTCAAATAATCTCAGTCAACTAGCAGAGCAGTGCATAAGTCTACAAACTGAAGCATGGGAACTGCATTCAATTATTTTTATGCCTAAACTTGGTAATTTGTATCAACTCTTACCATTTCTAGTAATTTCTTATCTTCGGTTTATAAGTCGGTAGATGTGCAATCCCTCCTGGGCATCCATCAAGATGATCACCATTTATGTTTAGGTTTGGTTGGAGTCATGCCATTGATGAAATGATTTTGCATTCATTTTACTGGATGTACAAAATGCATCTTGATGATCAGTCTCCAGTCATCAAATTGTCATTCAGATGAAAGAAAAATCTATTTCTGTAGTTGACCATTTTTCATTAATATGGAAGTCACTTTTTTTTTTCATATATTCATTTCATTTGGTCTGTGCTATGTGTACAAATTTGCTTTGCCTATTTACTACTTCATATGGTGCTTCTTAATTTAAAGCAAATATACTGCAACTAAAGATTTATATGATTAATCAAGATACAGAATAAATAGCTGTGACAGAAGACTTTTCATCCATCAAACAGATATATTGGACAACTTAGTCATTACTAGACCTTTTTGGGATATTCAATTCTCAGCTCTTAGTTCGTATGCATGGGAGGATCATCACGAACTAAAACTCAACTTATGTAGTAAGACATTTGGCAGGCACTGATCCACAGAGGTCTTGATCAGAACATGTTTGCTATTTTAGTTGTTTAGACTTTAGAGAACATAGGATTTATGAGAGGAAATCTCTGAAGGTTGACCAACCGAATTAGGTCATTAGCAGTTTGTGACTTGGCGTTAAGATAATTTTCCACACTGAGTGTTGTTTCTTCTTCAAAAATAGCTCCATCATTGCTCTAGAGTGACGTATTATTTTCTGCATAAGGTTCTCCAGCAATTGGGGAGAGAAAAAACAAAAATCTGATCAGAGTTTGGCCATCTTAGATACTTCCAGTGAACTTGTGATGTAAGCCATCTAGTTCTGCATACTAGTATCAGTTGAAACTGTCTTTGTGGCTTTGATCCAACAAACTCATCCTTTATGCATTAGATATGTCAATTGGCTTCTCTTTCTCATTTCACTCTACTGCGATCTTGCTAAATCTCATGTCACAGTATTACCGTTCGGATGATAAATCAATCAATTGAGACCACATGTTCAAAAATATTTTTTTAAGAAAATACAACTATATAAGAATATAAAATATACCAAAAAATATGGGATCATTTTAAACATCTTGAGTTATAATTTTATCAAGGCATAAGATAATTTATGATTTTGATTCCAAGATTGCAGGATCTCTTTCATTTTTTTTTTCATATTGTTAACAATCTAAAGATAGGATTATCCATGATGACTAATATAAAGAGGACTAAAAATTTTTTCATTGTTTTACAATCACTTCAAAACCAGTCTGCTCTGACTGGACCGATTGGTTCTTTTGATGCACAGGAAACTGATAGATTGAACCCAGTTTATTCTGATTGTTTTATCATTTTTGAAGCAATTGGTAAATTGGACAGATCAGAAGTCCACTTCTCAGTTTTTCATTTGGTGCAGCCTGTCTGGTTCATTTATCAGTATGAATAGATAGAGAACAGGGGAGGTGTTCAGCTTTCTCTTTTAAGTACAGAAATGGCCCGGTCTTCATAGAAGAGGGAAAGAGGCCATAGAAAATATATAGAAAGTTAAAAGAAAAAGGTTGCATTCTCTTAATTTTCTGTGCCTATCATGGGAATCCTTAGGAAAAGCTCTTGGTCACGAGGAAAGCATGTTTTGTCTTCTTCATTCCAGTGGCAATGCGTCTATAAGATCAACCAAAGCATCTCTCTTTTGATTTTTGTGCAGCTCAGTAATACTCAAAGCAACTGTAATTTGATTTTATGAAAATTCTTGGATTCTTATATGCTTTCCTGGGAAAGCTACATATTACTTTTTGCTACTATTTTCTATTTTCACAATTTCTTATATTCATTTTCACTGCAATATACAATAACAATTCATTCAACATCTAGTAAACTACTAGATGTCCAATATCAACAAAAACCAAAACTTTTATAAATGAAATCATGCATTGTGTATAATTCTATGTTATAATTGGTGCTCCTTGTCGTAGATCAGTGCTTCTTAACAAATGTGTATATTGACACCACCATAGATTGGATTTTATGGAATGAAAGACATACATCTGAGCTATGAACAAACAGATCTTGATGACCTCTTCCCCTAGTATGACATGGAGTTAGCTGCACACTGAAATCATCTGGTTTGATCCTCAATGCATCTGATCATATGAAACCAAGGTCCAGGATTCTCTTAGTTTTTTTCCTTGGATATATACAGTGGGGCCTCTTGTTATGCTACTCAACCATATAAATGGAAATCCAATAACTTTGATGCACTTAAAACCTTTGGGAGGTTAATCAAAGGAAATCCATTAACTTCAATGAGCTTAAGCATTTGGCAAGAAGATAATGGATGAAAGTGGTGGCTAAACATCCAAAAAGTCGCTTGAGTTATTTACATCTGCTTTGGAAACCTCACAGTATTGACAAGAGATCAATGAACAGAGTTTCAATGGGGTATTGCTGATTGGAACCATCCTTTTGTGGATCATTAGGCCTAATCTTCTCAACAGTGGCCCTGCCACATTTGCTGAAGATTTCATCGAGAAGACGAGGAGCTTCTTTGCCAGTTGATGCCATCAAAGTGAAATCCCTCTCATCCTTCTATCAGTGGCTTTCTTATGCATAGCAGTTGGAACTCAAATCTTGGAGTGTATGTGTCTGAACTCAATGCTGGACTGGATTTGCTGACCAATATACAAATTGCTATATGCTTGTAAGTAATGGGGTATGGGAATGGAAATTGACCAAGAAATGAAGAGGGAACAAGGACTTCATGGTGGATCAATGAAAATGGAAGAAGATGGCAGTACTGCACCTGAACTTGTAGCAAATTGATGAGATTAAACAGGGACTTCAATTCAGACAAATTATAATGGTTTCTCTTCATGACAGATGAAGATATGATACAAAAGTGTATAGATATTGTGCTGGACTGTAGATCAGCTGCCGATTATGTTTAGTAGAATAATATGCATGATATAAAGATGAGCAAATATAGATTCGGAAGCCTACATGTGATTACTGTTTATCACGATTGATATGGAATGTTACGGAGATTGACAGTAGATTATATCTGAACAGTTGAAGTTTATGTCAATTAAAGTTCAGTCTCTGATGTGCTTACAGCATTAAACAGCTACAGAACATGGGAAACTTAATCTAATATTAACCACTGGAGACTCAGTTCATGTCTTTGAGTTCATTCAGAAGAAATAAAAAAAAACGAACGTATACATATCTAGATTTATAGTGTCTCAAATTCTTGACTTAATTCAGACATGCTTTTGTATATGCTGTAGAATATGTGTAGGAACTTTTACTTGAAGATGAGAAAGCCAGTTGGTCATGTTCTGAAAAAGAGAGATTAATGAAAAAGGAGCATAAAGATGCAACAAAGATTACCTGGGGCATGTTCATGTTGGTGTTTCAAGACTTCATATTGATGAGCATGGCACTTCTGTTTTCATGTGCATCTAAGAGCATCTCTTGCTTCAGAAACAGTCTCAATCTCACCAAATTTTTTGACCTAAACAATGGAGGATTTGTGAGCTTTTGGCATTACAAACATATCTGATTTACCTGTCTGAGACAATTTTCCTTTTCTATATCATACTGCATTGTTCTCTCTGAGGTTGTCAAATACCTCCCTGCTAGATATACATACCGAAACAATATGTTTACTTTGTCAATTTCAATCGTACTCATGTAGAGATTTTTAAATATCTCCATTTGAGTCATCTAGACATATTAAGATACTTTGATTCTCATGATTCTGCAACTAGCAACAAATGTATGGAACTGTAAGATTATGATTTATGCATCTTGTTCATAACAGTTTCAGCTACTTAGATATGTCAATGTCTTAATGATACTTGCTGGTCCACATGCAGGGTTTGGTGACACTCCGCGATACTGCCCCTATCTTTGGATCTCCCAAATCTGAGCTTGAAAGTACCACCACAAATCAGCACCTCTTACTTTGTCACAAGTCTTTCTTCAAGGAAGAACAATAACTCAAAACAATTTCCAGAGTGCAGCTTAGAATCAGACATTATACACATAATGGTTATGCAACCAATACTTACTGGAGAAGAATTAGAAAAGTTTGAATCAGTAATGCTTCATCCCCATGGGGTATGTGATTGATTGCCATATCAAAATTCTTCAGAGATAAGAAAGCTGTGACATTGCCATGAAGCATATGGGACAAGGTTATCATACTGTGGGCAAATTCTCTTCTTTGTTAAGAAGATTCTTTTAGCAAAAATATATCTTTCTTCTTGTACATGTGGTCTGTAATACTCTTCTGCAAACAGTGATTTCTTATTATTCATAATATTTTGTCATCTACAGTGTACTGATGGTTATATTTTCCCTCTTTCCTGATGAACAGCCATTTTGTTCTTGGCAGTGCTCGGTATGTATCTTGCAAACCGAGTCATCCAATGTCCTGTGAAGTGAGTTGAGGCAGACACAACAAAATGTAGCTCTTTTGGACTCCTGCGATTGGCCGCCACAATGGTCTGCTCTCAATCCCTCGTGGCGTTTGTGAGATCATCAACCGGTGAAGGTGTTGGAATCTCCTGCTGTGTCGCGCCGGGCAGCGAACTGGAAACGCCGGCAGGGCCCGGAGCGAACCCCGAACGGTGCCTTATCCGCTGTGGGCCCCGCTCGCCGCGTCTTCTATGGTCGTACGCCGTCCGATCCGAAGCATCGGACGGTTGCGGTCTCGTCCCACTCGAACCCGCGTCCGCTTATCCGCGTTGGAAGCATGGAGACGAGGAGCGAGAGAAGGGTGAAGAGAGAAAGGGGAGAAAAGAGGGGGGCAGGCCATCGCCGTGGACGAGAAGTCCGCCCCGTGCTAGTTTCTCCCGCCGCCTCTCCTGTTCGCCGAACCGAATCATGGAGGGAAAGCCTCGGCGCGCCGCGCTGGTTTTCCTGGTCGCCTTTGTTGCCGTGGCGGCGGGCTCGCCGGCCTGCCCCAGGCCCTCCGTCGTAGACACGATCCTGGGTCGGCCGGACTCTTGCTGGGATTCGGATTCTACGCTGCCTCTCGGTGCTTATCAGATCGGCGTCGTTGAGGTGCTCCCCTACCACTTCTTGGGATCTCTGGTTCTGTTCCTTTTCTATATATTGCACATTTCCCCTCTTTTAAGTTGTAGTTTCTTGATAAAAGACGCTCCTTTTGGAAGATTTTTTCGTGTTATTATGATTATAGCGGTCCTGAACTCAATCGATCTTGCTTGTGGGGAACCTTTCCGTATTGGTAGCAAACAGTAGAATTCGCAAAATAGTTGCTTTTGAGGTATCAGACGATTTGGGTTGGCTTGTCCCTCCATAGCACTTGTAATATTAGATGTAATGAGATCAAAACCAAGCATGGTTGTCGACTGAAATTGACTTATGTTCACCACATCGAGACCAAATCAAACATGTTCAGGTTAACAAATGCCTGACACCAAGGATAGGAGATGATACTGACTCACTGGTGGCAGCTATTAAAAGACAAAACAAGCAAAATCTTCCTGGAATCTGGTTCATAATCCTCATTTTTGTTCTTTTTCTTTAGAACAACGAAATTATAGACAATTGGGTAGTTGGTTTGACCAAAATAGATTTGTTCTATCTGTCTTGACTTGATTAATCTAAATTAAGGGAACATATACTAATGGTATAAATGGGCGGTTGAAAATTTTCATTTTTGTTAAAGATAGATGAGGAGATTGTCCTTGAGGTTTGACATAGCACACATAGAACATTAGAATAGGACTGTTACAAGGTGCAGTGATAGATATTAATTTTATTGGAAGCCATGCTGCTTTAATTGTATATCCTGCACCAGAATCCTTGGAGGGAAACCATTGTTCTTGAACTAAAAGACGTAGCATAGGCCAAATTGATGGGCATATGACCATAACAGCCTCACAGCGGGTTCTGTAAAGAATATTTTTTCATGCTTGTGACAAACTACCGAGCTCTGGACAATGTGAGATAGGACAAAACGGTGCATTGACATCTTAATTCAATATGGCATTTTTATCCATTTGGCATCCATGTAGTTCCTTGCATGGATATGCATGTCCCTCGAACCGTAGTTCTCTGTCCTTTATGATAACTTTGTTTATTCAAGCCTCTAATAGCATAAGACCATCTAGAATAAGCAGAATAACAGCTGGAAAAGGAATATCTTAATCAATGCCAGAAGAGTTCCCGTTTCATGATATATAAATTGTAAGAGAGTATGCTCATAACTTTATTTGTTTTCTCATTTCTGAAACAGTGATTTAAAAAGACGCTCGGGCGCTCGGGCGAGGCGAGGCGAGGCCTGAGCGCCTCGCTAAACTTCTAGGCGGTGCTGAGCGCTTCGGGCGAGCGCCTGGGTTAAACCAGGCAACTGAACCAGGATTTTAGGTCTAGTTCGGTCTCCGGTGGTTAGTTGGTTCAATCGAACCAACTAAAACTAATATCAGCTGTCGCTGCCCAACCCTAACCCTGCTCGTTGCCACTGTCGCTCCCGCGTCCGCTGCTCGCCTCTATCGTTACTCGCAACCGCTGCCGCTGCTCGCCGCTACCGCTGCTCCTGCTCCCTCTGCAGCTGCTGCTGTCGTTGTCGCCGCACCCGCTCCCGCTGCCACTGCCTCCTTACACTCTCATTGCTGCTGCCTCCTTACTCTCCCGCTGCCGTTGCCTCCTTACATTCCCGCTCCCGCTACCGCTGCCTCCTTACTCTCCTGCTGCCGCTGCCTCCTTACTCTCCCGCTTCCGCTGCAGCTCCCTCCTTACTCTCCCGCTGCCGCTGCCTCCTTACACTCCCGCTCCGGCTCCCGCTGTCGCTTCCTCTTTTCTCAGTCAGCAGTCAGCACCCCCTTACATTCTTCCTTCTTCTCCTTCTGTATACTGTTAACAGTATACAGTATACTGTTAATATTATTAGGTTTATTTGAAATTATTAATTTTCAATACTATTAATAGATTAATAATATAATTTTTTTAAATAATTATATTTATTAATTATATTATATATTTTTATATTTTTATATTTTAGCGCCTCGCTTTGCTCGAGCGAGCGCCTAGCGCCTCGGCCGTTTTTGGACATTAGCACCTTTTGGCGCCTAGCACTTTTTAAATCACTGTTCTGAAACTATTCGTAGGAAGATAGCATGAAAACTGATGAGCCAAAACTTATATTAGATGCCTAGAAGATATAGAGTCCAGAATGAGAGGACACCAAGTATGATATAACCCTGAATAGAGACGGCACTTGAATGTTACCGAAATTTGTGCCTTTGCAGTATAATCTGCTTGTCAATTTAGAGTTAATGTTTCCCGTCTGGCATTGTTATTTGCTCTTGATTGTTGCTTGATGCTGCTGTTGACCTATGCTTTGTGGATTAGTGGTTCTTCTATGGCCTTTCTGTTTTCTGCTCTCTTTGTTCATGTGATTTTGTGCACTTGTATCTGCTTCTTGCTCTTCTATGGTACTGTTTCAATTGTTCCATTAGTCTTGATCAATCAGGGTTAGTTCAAGGGGCCTTTCTTGTTTTGAGACCTTGTCACATCTAGATTATATTCTTGTTGACTGACAGAAGAACCTCTAAATCATATCAATTTGCTCTTCTTAATTGTTCTGAGACCTTTTTTTTTTTCTTTACCTTGTGTGTAGGGAGATGAAGCTACTTTGCAGAAGGCATCGAGTATGGTGCAAAAGAACAGGGAGGACTATGTGGCCCTGCTCTTTTATGCATCCTGGTGTCCTTTCTCTAAAATTTGTCACCCAAATTTCCAGATCTTGTCTAACTTATTTCCAACCATCCGTCATTTTGCATTTGAAGAATCTGTTATCAGGCCAAGGTACAGAACAATGTTTGTTCAAATGACAAGATTCCTCAAATATATGCATGTAGTGATATTGACATCTGGAACTTGTGAATTGCAGCATACTCTCAAGATATGGAGTGCATGGTTTTCCAACCCTTTTTCTTCTAAATTCAACTATGAGGGTGCAGTATCACGGTTCACGAACCAGAAATTCTCTAGTTGCTTTTTACAATCATGTAACAGGTATTTTGCATTTTTCCTTTGATTAGATGCCCTTTTTTAAGTGCCCTTTATCTCTGGATTGCAAAACTGTCCTACAAGACTTCTCACGGCTTAGTTATGTTCCCGACTTCCTTAGAACTATTCACTTGATGGTTCAAAACTATAGTCATTTTCAAAAATAAACTTATGATATTAAGCACTTTTGCCGAGTAACAAAAATACCTTCAATAGAGTTGTTCACAATCAATAATGGTAAGCTCAAGTTACATAGCATTTATTCATTGAGCATAACCAGCCTGGACTCTCATGTTTTGTGCATAGGACTCTACCGTTCTGGTCAATCTGCAATGAAGATTGAAAATTAAAGAAGTTTAACATGAGGCTTTCTTTGCCTTGGAACATGTTATATTTATCATAATCTGTTCATCGTGTCAGGTGTCGGTCCATCACCGAAACTGGTCTTCCTGGATAATGTTATGGATCCGCCAGATGATACTGAGCTCAAAGAAGACATGCAGGAAAACTGCCCATTCTCATGGGCAAGATCACCAGAGAAACTGCTGCAGCAGGATGGTTATTTGGCACTTGCGAGTGGTTTCCTGCTGATGAGGCTGCTTTACTTCCTTCTTCCGAGACTTAATGCATGTTTTCAGCGAGCTTGGAGGAGGCAGATGCGATATGCAAGCGTGAGGAATCTCTGGAACTATTTCCAGGCATACACTGAACAAGCAAAGCGGGAAGGCAGTAGGTTGCATCCATGCGAGCGGCATCATCTGCAGGAAGGTGCAATGAGTGCCAGAGCCTGGGCTTCCCAGTCATTAGCGTCGGTCACTCTTGGCGAACCTAGTTCTGGGAGAGCATACTCGATGGGTCGAGAAAAATTAGGCCAAGATGCGGCTGGTTGGCTTTAATTGTTTGTATAGTTGATTACGTAGTCAAAATCCGTTTTGTGTTTTGGTTATTGGTTGCAACAATTCTTCCACATTCTCTTTTACTCCAAGATGCTCAAATTTGCTCAGTAATCCCTGCGGATGATGTTATTGGTTGCAACAAACAATTCTTCCTTGTTGATGATGCTATTTGGTCATTCTTCCTCCTTGATGATGTTATTTCAACCTACAATTCTTCCACGTTCTCTTTTACTCCAAGATGCTAAAATTTGCTCAGTAATCCCTGTTGGTTGATGATGTTACTGGTTGCAACAAACAATTCTTCCACATGCTCGAAGCTCAAATTTGCTCGGTAATCATTGTTGAAGACGTCATCTAATACTTGAGATAGTTCGGCTGCGGTTCCGTGTTATTATCATGTTGACGGTTGGCCGCATCCACGAAATTTGCTTGGGTTCTGTAGTCAAACCACTTTGATCACAAAAAGTAAGATTATGATCAAGAAATAGGAAGCAGTAACGAATTCCATCTTGCAATGAGAGTCATGGATAGAAGCTGCTAATTGCCATATCACATATTTATTCATATTCATATAGCCATTACGAGGATGCCAAAAGAAGAACACATGAAATGGAGAAGAATGATTAGAGATAATAAATTCAAAACACGATCACATGATGAAATAAACCACATAAATCTATAACCTCAGGAAAATAACAATATTAAAACGAAATCAGAGGATGGCAATTAAAAATAAATAAACAGCAACCACAAGAAAGGCTGAGAGAAATATGATATAATGTGTATGTCTGTAACAAAGCTAACATCTGACAATATTACCACAAAACGCATTCCTAAATCATCTGAAATTAGAATTCCATACATCACCACCCGGCTAAACTAAAGATTAACAGACTGACGCATAACATATAGGCCATCGATCACATGACCAAACCACGCACCATTATAGTCGGAATACCATGTTACCCATACACACACAGTATCCAATAACTAAATAGGCATTAGGAGTCCCACATCTGTTACTCATAACAAAAGTTATTCATAGCAGACAGCCCTCTCAAGCCCTTTCACCTCGGATCCTCCGAGCCAACTGGATGTCCTTAGGCATGATGGTCACGCGCTTGGCATGGATGGCGCACAAATTGGTATCCTCAAACAAACCCACCAAATACGCTTCGGCAGCCTCTTGTAAAGCAAGCACTGCATGGCTCTGGAAGCGCAGATCAGTCTGCACAACGCAGATATAAAAAAATATTGTTTTAATAGCTCAGATCAGTCTGCACAACACGATATATTAAAAAAAAAAAGATTGTAATAGCTCAGATCAGTCTTTATAGGTCACCACCATTCATAGTGTCACATTACTACCGACCTTGAAATCCTGGGCAATTTCCCTGACAAGCCTCTGGAATGGCAACTTCCTTATCAGAAGCTCTGTGCTTTTCTGATACTTACGAATTTCACTATAATTTTCAACACCAAAATGCACAATAAGCAGCAGCAAAGCTTAAGTGTAAAAACTACACTAGAGAACCCACTAAAATGGCACCACCAGTATCACATAGCATACCGAAGAGCAACAGTCCCAGGACGGTAGCGGTGAGGCTTCTTCACTCCACCAGTGGTAGGGGCTGATTTGCGAGCAGCCTACACAAACACCAGAAAACAGCTAACCATACAAAGCGACAAGCAAAGAGGATAAGAGACGTAAATGATGCAAGAAAATGTGCTAATTAAGAATGACTGAACCTTAGTGGCAAGCTGTTTCCTAGGAGCCTTCCCTCCAGTTGACTTGCGAGCAGTTTGCTTGGTACGAGCCATCTGGAACAGAGGGAAAAAGCAATTAGATGTACTCTATATATGATGGATTATGTGATGTCAAGACAAATCAATCAATTACATCAGAAAAAAATCAATCTCAAGAAGTTTACCATACAACTAAGTAATGATCACAAAGGGCAAAGAATAGCAATGAAAAAAGATTTAAGAAGTCCACCCATAAAAGGGATATGAACATAACTAAATAGAAACTCATGTGAAATTTTCCATAATTGTGACAGAAAATCTCTCTTGTTGTCAATGTCATATATCAGAGGCATACATACTCAGGTCAATTGGAGATATAGTTATAACCATGATATATGAAACACAGGAAAGAGACAAGAAAGAAGGCATGTGTCAAAGCAGATAAACTAACTAACCACCAAAGAACATCACCAGGTTTCTTAAAAGCAAGTCTGCTTAAGTTCCTAACAAACTGCATAGTCCACTAGTCTAATTTGATGCATCCACAAAGCAAACAACGGATCAGTGTATAACAATTATTTTTATCCAAACCAAAAATGCACTTACAAAAGCTAAGAACAAATCAGAATTCTGTAATGACAGTAACATATCACCAAGATAAAGAGAAACAAGAAAATTCACCAGCACTTTTGTTTCTAACACAAGTTATCCAGAGAAATGTTGCTAAAAAGCTAATTTTTAGCTTAAAACTCAAAACTATCATATATAATTTACAAATACAGAATACTGATAATAGGACAACAAGAAACCATAGAAGTCATTTGATTGAGATATCAAACAAATTACTTAAAAAAATTCAACACCTGGTTATACAATCAGAAAAAGATCATTTGACATTGAAGAAATAAAAATATGCATCTCAAAAGAAAACGACACAACAGGAAAGATTCTAATCAAAGAGATATTTTACAACTAAATGAATCTAGCATTCAGAAACCCTGTACAAAAAAAACAAATAAAGCTGGAAACCCTTACTTCAGGTTTCAAATATGTTCATGGTTTAACTCGAGATAAAGAGAAGCACACAGCTGAAGATCCATGGAGAATCGGACCATCAACAAATCAACAGATCCAACAAAGTAGAGAAAATCATCTTAGTCTTTTCACACATCTATGAGACCAGTTGAGCTTGAATACAAAAATGGGCACATTCATATTTAAGTTATGCTAACTGAGATCCTGACAACTCACAGAGACACAATTGAACTCCACTCACACCCAGATATCGTAACATTTGCAACCATAAAAAACAGCAATACCAGCTCAAAGAAAAATATCAAAGTGTCCTACATAGAGGATGAATCCTTTGTTTTATCTTTATTTTTTGCTTGTTACATTTGCCTTATAGTTTTCTCACCCAAGGAACATCATTAATAAAATGAGTTATAGTCATTATTCTCGGCGATACATTTGATTTGCGTATTATTAAATTCACAAAGTTATTGGTGCGAATTGTTAAGGAATATGGATTTCTCAATTGTCCAATCAGTTTTCACCCCTAGTTTCCACAAAATCATTATTCTATAACCCACGCCGGCAACCAAGGGATAAAGCTTTGTATTTTTCTGAATTCTCAAAACAGACGCCAGGCACTGAACACATCGAATCAGCTATAGGGTCCTACCAATCAGTTATTCCACAAGATCACAGCGCATTTCCAATTTGCAGAAGAACAAAGATCTCAGTTTTGCACGAACATGCTCAAAAACTCAAACCCCTTAGCACCTTGTGTTACACTCTCTCGTTAAATTCCAGGCAATCAGTCCTATCGCCTCAAGGAAACTGCATAACCACGAGTAAGTTTGAGCAAGGCTAGTTGCCGTCCAACAAGGGCAACCAGAATCGCATAGTTTTTTTTGGTAAGCACACCAAAACTTCCTTCCACAACAATGTCTATGCAACCAAATCACCAACGCCGCAAGGCAGAATAAGATCAAAGAACCAAACGCGACATCATTACATCACAGGGACAACAACAAAGCATTAAATCCCTCCCAAACCCAGGCAAATTAGAAGAACACAACAATGACTTTAAGATCACATGAAGTAAGTCACGCAGGAATGAGACGAGCAATCAACAAACTTGAAACAAACCAGAGAAATTAAGCGAAAACAGGAGCATTATACAGTACCTCTCGCGATCGCCCTCCTGTTCGCTCCTCCTCCTTACGAAGCTTCGAACCGGAAGAGATCCAAAGTTGACAACAGCGTAGGTCGAGCGCTATTTGTAGGCCCTCCACGGCTTGTGGACAGTCGAGATCCCGTCTCGCTGTGTTTCTTTGCCGTGAAACGAACGGCTGCGATTTGTTACATGGCAGCGAGGCGGATCGAGACGAGTTGTCGGAGGATTTCTATTGGCCACCACGCTCGTCCACGGATCGCTAGGCGGGGTTGTTAACTCGTTTGCGGTTTTTAGGGGAATGCCCTTAGACACGTTCTTGGGATTCGTTATGCTTCCAGAGACAGCAAACATTATTCTCGCCACGTAGCTGTCGAGCTAACCATCACGACAGTGGCCCCCACAATGATTGGCACATCAAATCATGGAAATATATATTAATGCTGTATTTTGCTCTTTATTATTTCCTTATAAAAGAAAAAAATAAATCTGAGGTTTCTGTAATACAAACAAAAAGGCCTATCTGTAATTGCCTCTCATAAAGATGCCACCATCTTCTTTAAAGAAACACCAACGCAGCAGCAGCAGCAGCAGCTTTCATGCAACGACTCCGCCTTCAATTCTCTACTTTGGATTGCCATGTCTGTAACCTGTAGCTTCATGGTCGTACGTAACGCAACCAGAGCTCTCCAAATGCTCCTTCAGTCGGTCGATCGGCTATGGTTAAGTCATCAGCAACATCTAATTCACGTGGTAACAAGATGATGATGACCGGTGGTGTCGTCCGATTCCGACCGGCACAAACAGTCCGGTAGAGGATTCTCGTAGAATGCTTCTTCGGACCGAAATCTTTCTTTTCCTCTTGTTCCAGAGATGGGACCTTTTCTCTTGCGAGGTGACCCTTGTCTGATGCACAAATGCAAGACGATAAGTGTCGAAGCAAGAAGGTGTGGACGTGGTTCTATTCATGGCCACATACCTTCCTTTGTGGGCTTCAAGAATCATGTTTGATAGCTTTTTTCCTTCTTTGAGCGATCCACGATCGATCTTATCAATCAAATGAACAAGTGATTTCCTGCATCGTAAATAAAAATAATACATTAAACGATAAATAAAAAACGTTCTTACGACCTATCAACAGTACAATAGAATGTGTTGAAGGATGTCTCGAAGAGTTTATTTTCGAAGGACAACTCACCTATCGGGAGTGATGGTTTTTCGGTGGCCCAAGAAACGACGGTGACCCTCGACCGCCCTTGCCATGTTTCCCAGGTATGATGAAACGAAAACATCGCTTTCCACTGAGACAATGTAATCCAATGCTGCCATTTGAGATGCATATGGTCTAAAAGGATCAAGCTCTTCTGCTGAAGCTAACTTTTCCTGCATAGGAATGTATATTTTTTCATCTACAACCTTAAAACTCCAGGAGAAAGCAAGAAAAAGTTTGATCAAGAACGAATGTTTTTAAGGCATCTCATGGTTTCATTTGCAAAGATTTTGTTTCCCTGAAGACAATGAAAAGAAAGAATTTGTCTTCATATAAAACCTTCAACTAAGATTTTGTTTTCATGAAGACAATGAAAAGAAAGAAAAATGAAGATATCATGCTAGTCCACCAAAAGGAGAGGAGTAGCTGATCCATTAAGAACACAATATAGGGAAATGTAAGTCTGATACTCTTCTATTATCAAACATCATCATAACAATTACCCAAAACATATACAATCATGCTTTCATATCCTTCATTTTCTATATTTTATTGTCATTGTCATAAATCAAATGTCATGTGTTGTGAACAAATCTAACATATACCTACAAGTAGGAACTGGCAACATTTAAATAAAAGGCTTCACCAGTTTTACTTTGTATAAAGAAAAGAAAACATATGAAGAGACTTCATGTTGCATTATCAAATGTATTAGTACCTTGCTCATTAGTATCGGAAACCGGGATTGGAGATCAGCCATGTGTGAATCACCTCCATATATATCACCAGCTGCAATATATATTGGAGTACTTGATGGATATCCTAGAGCAGAAAGGAAAATTCCAACCTCTTTTGGCGTAAGGGGACAGTGACCTTTGGATCTCTGTTGCATGGGGTCAATGTCTTTCACCTTCCAGTGTGGTGTGTTTTCTCTATAAAAGCAGAGAGAGAGAGAGAGAGCAGAGTAGATGAACATGACATTTGATTTTGGAAAAAAATGAGACATTAATCTGCAGAAGTTCTTACCTAATTTTGGTTAGCTCATTAGCTTCATGAGGACTCAAACCATATGTACAACCACTAAAAGCAAGCATGTCCTTCTCGAAACGTAAGTGCAGAGCAATAAATGGACCATATGATCTCATTCTCTCAACCAACAACTGCGCTTTATACAAAGAATATGAAAGGGTAAAATAAGCTCCAAGTGTAAGTATTGTAATACAACGGCAAATTTAGGAAACATAGAAGCTAAGCTATTACTTTTCCTAGTGCCTCAATGCTAGGGGCGAAACGAAGAGACTCGTAGAAAACTCGGCAACGGAGCTTCTGTATCTCAGAGGACAAATTGTTGTTAGCAAGACGAGAATCTGATTTAGCAGCTCGAATAACCTGTCAGAAAGATAACATCAATGATAAATTTTATACAGTGCAGTAAATTAGTTTTGTGTTTTACAGTAGTACAGAGACTACACCTTATTATCATTCCATAATCGAGATATCTCATCCTGGTAATATTCTACACCAGACCAGCTCTTAAAATATTTCACTATTTTGGTAGATGCAGCAAGCTCCTTTGGTAGTTTCTTCACGATTTTCACATCATTTGCCAAAGAATGTATAAAGTGATCTTCGTCAAAGACATCCGAAAAATTGCTGCCATAGAATAATATGTCAATAGAAAGCACAGATATTCTCAAACAAGACAACAAGAGAATTACAAGTACCTAGAATCTTGCCAAAATGAGCTCTTATCGAGTTTTGGAATCACGAGAGTGGCATTGATAATCCGCACAACTGCTACCATGTCAGAGATCTGCAATGAAAATCTCAGAACATTTATAATAGTTTATGGAAAAATGGTTATACAAGAAATACCCACAACCTCCTGATGAACTTGTACATAAAATCGAGTAACGTTTCCAAATAAACATTGGGTTTTAAGCTAAAAGAACTATGAAAGTAGACAAGGAAGAAAGCATGTTGTGGTAGTCAATGTTGTGTTTTAACTTTTTTTATTTTAATTCCCACAACTATTTGGGCCGATAGCCTTAAATGTAAAGAGAGTGATTATGTACAAATTTTAATTAAATAAAATTGAAAGGTGAAGAAGGCCATGACTACTTGAATAAGTTACTTATTTTACTCTAGAATATTCAAGAGCTAGCACATCCATGAAAACTTTGGGTGCATTGTATATCTCTAAGACATTTTTATGCAGGAAGATGGCAGGTTCAAGTTTTAAACTAGTGAAGTGACTGGTCGGAACCACATGAAACATTGGCAATAGATAGTTAGATACCTGTCATAGGCTACAATTTCTTCTGGTTGAACTTAAATTTAATTATTTGTCCAAAAAAATCATAGAAACAGTGACCAAACATCTGGACAAACAATCCTAGTTCAGTTTTTGTTTCAGATGAAAAAAAATTACAAAGACACTAGTACATAGCAACCCGAATCAGTGAAGCATCTTGACTGTTGCAGAGTCGCAGACCTTATTGACTAGGTTGAAGAAGACAAGTAGGGAGATTGCCATTTTCTAGTAGTCAGTTCAACTAGCACAACTACTTTGGACGAATGAAATCACAATTTTCATGAAGCAAACAAAGACCAGTAATTATCCATTAGGTATAGCCGTAGAGATAGGGTCCAAACAAATTGCTTGAAAAATAAAGTCAAGATTTCAACCAAATTGCCAGGTATCCCATCTCTAAATCTTGGTTTGGCATGCCTAATTCGCATATGAAATCAACATGGTTGACTTAATGAAACCACTATACAATATAGCAACTGTAGGACATGCTTTTTTAAAAAAAAATTTCAGACTACTCTATCCTTTACCTCTTTTTTTGTCATTTGGTGATTAAAATAATAGGTCTTTGCACATGTTGAACAATTATAAATAGATGTTATCATGCTGCCTCATGCATTTTTTTGTTAGATCATAAAGTGTTAAAGGTACTTGTTCATTTTTTGGCATTACAGAGTACCATAATATAAAATGCAATCAAGTACTCCCAACTATATTGATCAATAAAAAAAATAGAAAGCAAGGAAAGTGACAAGCATGATAATAGATTGGAAGTTGCTTTGCAACCAAATACAACGTGCGAACAACAACTCAGTCAACCACATGTCAAATTAAGGGTCCCAGCTAGTGGAATTTTAACCATCTTAAGAATACTTCCATAATAGAAGGCCTTTGACACTTTAAATTTAATTTAATTGTTGCCCACTACATCTATTTCTGATTTCTTAGTTTGTGGAGAAAATGCTAAAATGAAGCAAGCAAAGCCTTTTTAAGTCATATGCAATCATCCAACAATATGTCAAGTCAAAAGGATTGCAGCAATGGCAACCAATCTTCTCAAGAAAAAGATAGCCCGTCTCACACTAAGATTCTTTTTCATTAGGAACTTTAACTGTAATGTTCTGACATATATTTTTCATGTTCAAAGCTAGAAACACTATCTTCATGTTTAGTCTCTTTGAGGACCATTCAACTCCAGATGAATTATAATCTGAAACATGTTAAATCACACAACAGAATCTTATGATATGCTATATGTCTGCAGTTAACTCAATTTCTTTTCTAGCGACTAGATTTAGGCAATACCAATCAGAATTGGAATTTTTCTTTGACCATTCAGAATGGAGCATGAACAAGATATACATAGGAAGATTGATTACCCCTGCCCTCATCTGGTTCAACCCACCATTGGTGCTCACTAACAGGTAACCTCTTGACTCTCCAGGAGCTGCAGTAAAAGAGAGCATTTCTTAAGATAAATGCAATCTGCCAAGTGAAGAAAGAATGGAAACAATCTCAGGAAATGGTGTAGTTTATTACATGAATACGATGAGCTGGGTTTAGTGCAAGGCACAAAGCCACGATCTGATGGAGGCTTCCACAGCTTCTCGAATTCCTCCGTCGTCTCCTGGCTCGTGCTATCCCACTGTCAATTCTAGAGGAGTGAAAAGAATGGGAGAGATGGCATGATTGCTCAGCACTCCAAATATTCGACTAAAAACCCCCCATGAAGCCGTTAACGTCAAGAGATCAGATTGAGAAAAATTGCAACTTTGGCATCAAATTGAAGGCGAAATCCATCAAACCAAGAGCTGATGGAGATCGAACAGAGAAATAAATGGATCACCTGATGATGAGCAGCCGACGCCTTGGAGAGTTGAGGAGGAACCGCTTCTTGCACCCATTTGTGCTCGGAACGCCAACTTCCATACCCAATCTCATGCCTCTGCTTACAACAAATCGTTAACTCTCGTAGAACATTTCTATCTGACGCTATAATACCTTTTTTTGCGGACCAAAAGAGAAAAATGAACCAGAAAACAATCAGAAAAGATCTGCAAAATGAGAGCTTACCATCTTCTAAACAGAACCTTTGGCTGAAAATAACAAAAAAATGGGTTCTTGATGTCGATGCATCAAGAAACATAACGAAAGAGATTTCTGATGCTAAAAATCCAAAAAAACCTACATCAAGAGTCGTTTTTTATTCCGAAGAGATATAAACATTCCAAGAACGGATTTTTATGGAGCGAGAGAGGTGTACATTAAGAAAAGGATATCTTGAACAAATCCCAGGATATTGTGACTGAAAACCCCTATAAAGCGTCAAGAACCGGCCTTCGTTTGGAGAACATCAACGATTAAGAGAAAAGAAGAGGGAGAAGCAGCGACCTTGGGGAGCTTGTAAGCACCCGGGGAGGACGAGGAGGAGTAGGAGGACGAAGGGGACACTTGCACGGCCAGCAGCGCCACCAGGAAGACGGTGCCTACGGCGATGGTCAGCAGCAACCGCATGACGGTCACCCTTCTCGGCCGCACCCTGCGCCTCTGCATCTCTCTCTCTCTCTCTCTCTCTCTCTCTCTCTCTTCGTCTTGAGGAGTCTGCTTCTCTTCTTTCTTCTTCTCCTTTTTCTGTGCTGCTTCTGGGTTCGCTTTTTCTTTTTCTTTGTGGGAAAGGAGAGGCTTGTATTGGCGCGTGAATGCGCGTCCGCCAGAGCTGAGGCTTGAATTAAAGCCTTGAAATGACGGCAATTGCAGACCGCCGAACACATATGCGCTTCGTTTCTTCCTCCCATCCTCACGCGGTAGATGCTTCACACGTCCCAATACACTTGTTGCTGCCCCCACGCAGATTCGACGAACCCACAACTCACCACCTGGCACATAAACCTTTTGACCCCCACGGACTCCACTAAGAACTAACCACCTGCCATTTGCTACACTCCCACCGACCGGCCTTGGAGATTCACCGCAACGACGTCACTGTCGCGTTCGTCCCACAGATCTGTGTGCGCTCTGCACAAGAAGCAAGGCAGAGAAGGAGAGCTCGAGGAGGAAACATGTCTTTGACAACGGGTGATTTCGTACCACGTGGCAGTACAAAAGATCTCGCGGTAAAGAATTCTTTGGTAGATTATTTTCTAGATTTGGTAGGATTAGCTGTTCATATTCTAATCCAAATCAGGAAACAAGAATGTCAGCTGCACTAACGTAATAATCTTTTGGCATATGATATTTTTTATCTTATTGTTCACGATAACACATACAGTAGTCCCTTTTATTGTGAACATTTTTATCATGAAAGATCCGACCGAGTTAGATGTGATCACACCATACCGAGTAATAAATATAAGAGACATATTTGGAAGTGGAATATCCCAATTTTGACTTTGCCCACCGACATGGCAAGAATAGAAAGAGAAAGATGTCTCCACATGTTAGATTTCATCCTTTTATTTGTGTGGCAATATTGAAGTGTTGGGGTTTTCTTTATGATGATTCTTCTTACCACAAAACATAGTTTTCTTGATGACTTATATAGAGAGGAGAACAAAAAGTACAAGGTCATATGCAGGGAAATGAAAGCCTCTATGAGGCGTCTGAGTCTGCTTAACCTGTAAATAATGAAAGGATGAAATCTCTTTATCGTTTATTATCGATACCAGTAAGGTTTGGAAAATATCTTAGGGTTTATAATTCTCTTCCGATTACTTGGATGATCATGATTATGAACTTACCGAAGCATGTAGAATACTGACGAAGACATCCTACTCTTCCATTTTGTTTAGTTTGTTCTACTGCTGTCTTACATTTTGTTGGATTACAGGAAGAGCTGATCATCAAAACATCTTCTTCCTTTCAATTTAGATTTTTTGTACTCTGTCACTGCATAATTCAGAGTTCCGGCAGCGACTCGGTCAGTCTCTTCTTCCATCTGTCTTATACTCGTTTATAGTCTTCCATGGCCAGTTTTGGGATGCTAGAAAGAGTTAAAGATGTTGATTATCTTCTGAGTGTCATTTACATCTCACCTTGCAAGTGCATAAACATCTTTGGCCACAGTTTTTACCCTCTATAATTAATTATGGTTAGTATTTTGATCCTTATATTTTAAAAAATAATATTGAGTCCCTATACGAAGGTGAAAATTTTAGTCCCAATTTTTTTTACATAGTTAATTTCATCGATAGAAAAAATCGCATGTGTTGTCATATGCAAAAAAAAAAAAAAAAAGCACAAATGAAAAAGATAGAAACGTATTTTTATTATTTTTAAATTATTAAATTTATATTCACTTCTCGCCCTAATTGATTTTTCTTCCTCTCCTCTTTCTAACCACTTGGTCACCACACCCACTTGACCGTCGCTTCTCTTGCATTGCTCGCCATCGTTGCATCGGACCGGCTCGACTGTCGTCGCTCATACACCACTTGTTATCGCTGCACCGGACCTAGCTTGCCTACCGCACCTGGTCGCTCATCATTGACCTGCCGCACAATTGGGTATGTTCGCTAGGACAAGGAGGCTGGTGGGTCAATTCTAAAGCTTATGGAGTTTGCAAGGGACAGAGTGGAGGACAACAAAAGTGTAGCTGATCGATAATGGAGGGTTGAGGAGCTTTCTGTTGCACATGAGGACGATGATCTTGGAGTCTTGCAAGAAGGTGCTGAGGTCATCTAGGTTAGGGATGATTGGGTTTCACCATCACTTATTTGTTTGCTTTTGCTTCTTTTGCATGTTCACTCAGTTGACTTTATCCATGGAATGGCATCAAATTGTTTATAGATTCCAATTATATTAATAATTTGTTATATGTTATAATCATGAGATGATAGCCACACAACATTACACTCTTTTTTTTTTACTTTTCATAATGTTCAAACTAGAACAAGGAGGGCAGCCTACATGATGAACAATGCTGCTTGGGGCCATTGGACTTTGATCCTTGATTCTTGCCACTATTGTACCTAACGAGGTCCAAGAACTTATCGATCTTGGTGAGCAGCGGGAGTACTGTAGCAAGTAGAGATGCACAAGCAGCAAGCTTCTTTGACAACGACGAGACTATCGTCGGCTAGGGTAGGGATGTTGGGGTTATGGGCATGCAGGTGTAGCGGGCAAGCAGGGTGCCACTGGCGAGCTGGGTTTGGTGCGATGACGGTGAGCGGTGCAAGTGCGGTTGTTGAGCAGTGCAAGAGCAATGACGGTCGAGCAAGTCCGATGTAGTGATGGCGAGCAGTGCAAGAGAGGTGGCGATCGCGCAATGCAGGAGCAACAACGATTGAGCAAGTCCGGTGCAACGACGACGAGCTTTTGCATAACTACAACGATTAAGGTGTACTGTAGGTTCCATCAAACATGGGTTTTGTCTCCTGTAATCTTGTAGTTTTTGCATAACTACAAGTTGTTCATTCTTATCCTTTGTAGTTTTTGTTGTGGCTTTTATGTTCTATTATCATGTTCATCTTTTTCCACACCGAGCATTACACTAAAGTATAACTGAGAATGAGAAATATAGATCATATTATTATTCTAGGTTGCATCCCGGCACGATTCACATCATCGAGATTGGCAGCAGGAAGGAAGTACAGAAGGCCATGTGATAAGGACCGGTAACACAGCATTCTGAGGCAACTCGCATTCAATGTTCATCTCGGTGACTCATGCATCCAGACAGAAGAAGATGTTCCTGTCACGAACAGCAGAATCCGTTCACGAATTCATGGTTGCAGAAACTTACTGCACGTTCACCATTGCTGTGTAGTTGCAGGTAGTGACACTGCAGGAGCTGTTCTTGGTCGATAGATGAGTTGTAATAGAAATGATTGAGCTACTGTTCACCATTGCTGTGTAGTTGCAGGTAGTGACACTGCAGGAGCTGTTCTTGGTCGACAGGTGAGTTGTAATAGGAATGAGTGAGCTGCGGGAGTAAGTGAGACGATGGAGCTACACAATTCAAGCAGTTGAAGGTGGTTGGTCTGCAAGATTGGAGAGTCCATCACGAACTCTCAGCATAAGTTCAGTTCAATGAACATTCCATCAAGAACTCGACTAGAATTATAAGCTATCTATCGTTAATTTGAGCTTAAGCGGTCGTGTCAGTAATTTATATTCACCAAGTTGATGGATTAGTTTTGTGGGAAAGGAAAAGAGATGGATGAATCACTAAAGTGGAAATGAAAATAAAAACATGTAATTTAAGTTTCAGGAAATAAATATTAATTACATTACAAACTCTGCTCTGGATTACTACTAGTATTACCATCGATCTATCTCCATGTACGGCCGTGGCTACTTCTAATTCCAGTCGTCGGAGCACCAGTTGAGAATGGGCGGCTGGTCGTCGGAGAAGAAGCTGATGAACGGTTCCTCCTCCTCCATCATCAACATGTGGTGATGTTGATGGTGCAGGGATCCTTCCTCCTTGATGGCGCCAGAGAGATGATCCGGATCAAGAAAAAGTGGCGCGGAAATTGTCTCAGCAGCCGTAGGCAGCGGCCGCACCGCGTCCATCGACGAGGGCTTCCCCCGTCGAGGGATGTTTTCGTCGTTGAGGACGGCGCTGGAGTCGCTTTCGGACGATCCGTCCTTGTAGAACAGAGCCGCGGGATCCTTTTCTGACGACGAGGGCGGCGCGGCCTTGGCCTCGGCTTCGGAGACCACCGGCTCTTTCTTCACGGAGGAGAAGCTGAGGCGCTGCTCCCCCGACGACAACTTGGCCTTGAGCTCTCCGATCTGCATCACGAACACGGAACGAATTCACGAGAAAGAATCCAGATTGCGTAGCTCTCAACGGTTGAACCGATGGATTCGTGACTCACCTGGGTGAGGAGAGACTCCTTGTCGCGGCGGAGCGAATCGTAGTCGAGGCGGAGCGCGTCGTAGTTGGCCTCGAGGGCGGCGTAGTCGCGCTCCAGCTGCTTGGTCTTGCACCGGGCCCGGCGGTTCTGGAACCAGACGGCCACCTGCCGCGGCTGGAGGCCCAGCTGTTGTGCCAGCCTCAGCTTCCGCTCCGGTTCCAGCTTGTTCTCCACCTCGAAGCTCCTCTCCAGAGCTCTCAGCTGCGCCGCGCTCAGCCGCCGCTTCTTCTCTCCTTGTACCGCCGCCTCATCATCTTCCACCATGGACTCGCTGTTCTCCTCTGTAGGTATCCGACATGAACAATCAACAAAGGTGAGCCCCGTGTGTATGATTCATCATCCACCTCCCTAATTAATGAGAATTCTCAAGGTGATCAACGACCAAAAATAACCGAGGCATGAATGCAGTACCAGATGGGCAGATCGGCATGAGACACCCCCAGTCTGCGATGCGCCTCTTCATCTTGTAGATCTAGCCAGCTACTCTCTCTCTCTCTCTCTCTCTTTCAAGTAACAAACAGAGTCTTGTTCTAAATGGGCAGCTCTGAGTGAGAGAATAGGAGTAGGAGGGACTCTTCCATTACCACTCTCCTTCAGATCTCATCAAGAGATACTACCATAAGCATATCCACAAAAATCCTCGTAACTGCTTAGTACAAAGTAGAGCGAGAGAGAGATGCGGAGGGATCTGTGGGAGATCTAGAAGAAGGTGGCAGAGCTGAGAGCTCAAGGCAGCAGCAGACTCTTTAAGGAATGGTTAAGAAGGGTGAGAATTAGGTTGCAGGGGATGAACACGAAAGGAAGCTCTGCATTGGCCATGGTCCATTTCTTTATTCATGTTTCAAGATTATAATATTATATATATATATATATATATATGTATATAATATTATATGATATTATATTAAGGTTGAGAAGAAGAGATAGTTGTATGAATACAAGGACATGAAGAGCCCACATGGCTGATGTACTACCACCTTAGTTGAGCCACCCTTGTCACAATAAATAAGTTGGCTATTTCAAGTATCATTTCCCCCATGCAGTGTTCTTTATCTTCTTGTGAGAACAAACAAACTTGTAGATTATGACAGTCAAGTCTCCAAGATTTTAGAGTCCTGTCAAATTGGCTTCAGATTCAATGGTTGTTGTAGGTTTTTGGCTTCATTTAGACACCCAGCAGTGCTGCAAACATGCAATGATCATGTTTTGATGGTGTGCAAAAGTTTGCTGTAACATTGTACCTTGTTAAACTGATTCATAACATATCAGCAGCATTATTCACAAATGAATACAACTTTTGGAGTACTTGATGTTGATATGATAGTTGGATTTTGGCAGACAAAAAGAATACTATGAATAGAATGCATGCCAAATCATCACCCAACAATTGAACATCAAAATTGAACTTACCTCTCTCTCTCTCTCTCTCTCTCT